ATAAAATATTCTGAATAATTTTCTAGCCTTTTTAAATAACTTTTTCGAGCAATATCTACGACATAATGACGGAAAAACTTTTGGTGTGAAAGTTTAAGAATTTAAACCACAGCATTGTTTGGGTACTTTCTGACAGTGGGTGAGTTAATCTTAAATTAATCTTAAATTTTAGATTATTAGTGTAATAATAAATACGTTTTTACTCGATTTAAAAATTATTCTTGTTTATATAAATTAGTATAACTGACATCCATTAATGGACATTGATCATTAGCTGACATTAGCCATTAATAGACATTAAAACAGCTAAAGGATAAGATACGAAAGTGTTTTAAGCTTTTTAGACTAAGGCTTACTGAGCTTTCAATTGTTTTTAACATTTATAAATTCAAAATGTTTATAACTGATTTATTTATTTAAGTAAAAAAAAACACCTTAATGAATAATAATGCCAATTCAATGGCATTTTTATGTGCGATCTGAATTTTTAACACGAAAGCATGTTTAAAAGAATTGTCCATTAAAATCAATATTACAAGTTTTTTACATTTGTTTTTATATTGTTTTAGACAGCATATTTTGTGAACTAAATTTTTAATGTTTTACCTATTTTCTATTTTTGAAAAACTAATTTTTTTAAATTTCTTTATTTTTACAATATTTTGTAATTAGTGAATAGGAAAGATCTCAATTAGAGGTTGGAATTGTTTTAGCTCTCTAGAGTTCTGGGACTAAAATAAATTGGGACGCAATTAAAATGTTTATATCTATGATTAACGTCACTTTCTAACTTCAAAGTAATATGCGTAACAATATTAACAAATTTCTTTATGCTATGACAAAGAAATATTTGTCATTCGTCAGCTAAAGAATAAATTTTAAAATAGTAAAATAAATAAAATTTAATAATAATAAAACTATTATGTAAAAGCTGTAAAAACTATGAGTTTTTTTGGAGTACGAAAGTTAAAAAATCAGCTATGCCTTCCTGAGATTCTAAGTACGGATCTAACATTTGCTAGATGAGTCCTGTAACTACTTGGACCACGAAAGTACGCGTAGGAAAAAATGATAATTCCTTACATTTTCCTCTCACTTAAAGGGCGGTTTGGGAAAGACGAATCAACCAAATTGTTGTCGTGACAAATTAGTTAAATTATTTTAGTTTGGATGCGACTCTTGAGACTCGTTGGCCTTTCGTACCGGGAAACATGAAAAATCAATTATGTTCTCCCAGAATTCGGGACACTGATCTTACAGTTGCTAACTATTTACGCCACGAAAACACGTATAGGAGAATACAATAACTCCTTACTCTGGAGCATAGCATTTTGATTTTCTTGATATCTCTTTTCAGTTTATTGATCAACTGTCTTCAAAACATCAATTTGTAGAGTGTCTACTAAGCCGAGAACTCTAGGGAACATACAAGAGCAACATGTAAATTTGTAATAAAATATATTACGTAATTAAGAATATTGTCTTTCAGCATGGAATAATCCACATAAAACTTGGACCTGATATTATTTTCTCTACAGTTTCTTAAAATTCTTTAAATTGAGAAGATTACGCACCTTGAAAAAAGGTTCAGTCACACTTGCTTTCAGGTTTATCCTGCAGTCACAGAAAGTGTATTATTGAAGTGGCAATCATCTGGCTTGGTGTTTTGAAAGTAAAAAGAGTTATTCTGAGCAGATTTTTATATAGATTTCTGTACTAATAAGCTTAAGGAAGCCCTGTATAGCTTAAAAACTATAGTTAACCGTACTTTGAAAGTTCTTGTAAAGATGATAGATATTGTTATCTTGGAATTATTCGATACCATTTTGAAAGCTGTCGAGATTTTTGAGTTTTCTCGCTCCACAGCGTTAAGGAGTACTGAAAATACTTTGCAGAAAGCATTACTTTCAACATGACACAACGTAATGATTGGTCACATTTGACTGCTGAGGCCAGCAACGACAGCGTGGACTGACTGCCACAATCAATGAGGGATGCACTAGAATGAGTGCATTCATCATTGTCTCTGCGAAGATAGTCTGAGTTGTGTTGTGAGAACTATGGAGACTTAGGGTATGCTAGTTAGAATAATAAATCGAGATATACTGGTACTATTTTATTAATCTAAGATATCTAACCATGCAGTCTCGCCTCATCTTGAGAGGATTTATCTATTTATTTTTAACTAATAGTTAATTTTTAGTGCTTTTCTGTCTCTCTCTTTTCACCAACACTTTTCATGCCAGAATATAAATGAGACAGCGAGCTTTTATTCAGTTTAAGTGAGGGAGAAGTACTATTTAAGCGAAGGTTTCGCAAGTTAATTTTAGAGCGTGTTCTGATTACTTGAAGCCACGTTGTTACCTTGATTTAATAGCGATTTGATACTGTGGCGTTAAGTTCTTCCAGTAATTTGGTTTGTCTCGCCGGGTTTCTACAAACCAGAGCCTTTTCTACGCGTTACTTTATCTGTTGAGCCATTAAGCTAATCTATTGTATTTGATTTAGTTCAACATCACGTATTTAAGTTAAACCAGAAGTGTTAGCTTAAACACAAGTTGGGCCATTATGACATTTTGTGTTCAAATAAAAGGGTCTTATACATCCTTCTTCTGAATATTTGTTTTGTTTCACAAGACTAGAAGCTAATTCTTCAGTAGTCTTTTTAACTATAGTTTATGCTTTGTAAGAATACAAGAATACAAGACTTTACAATCTATTTAAAAAGGAAACTTTCAGTCAGCATTTTCTCCAATGTTGAGTTCTCTCTTCCATATTGTTCAATGAAATTCGGTCCAGTTTTTTCATTCTTAATTATATTAGGTAGCAGCTGTTTTCTAATCATTTCTTATTTTATTAATTCATATAAAAACGGACTTTTACCTGGTTTAATTCTTTTTTTCCCTGTGGTAATTTGCTTCGCTTTCTTGAATCGTTTATTGCGCCAACTCCAATAAAAACCCAAAAAGCACCGATTCGCTTTCTTGGATTTTTATTTCGCTTTTCAATATTCCTTGATGATTCAGTTTTCGTAATACTACTAGAGCGATTAATTAAGAAAAATACTTTATGCATGAGAAATAGCGATTCAGAGAGTTTACACTTTATTCCAATCGTCTTTAGGAAGTATTTATTATAATGAAGCATTCGTTGTCAGTTGAATTTTATATAGCTGTGTCTGTTCTACCAAAATCGGATTGTAAAGGTATTTTTAATAATTAGAAGAGTGTGAAATTGAATCCTGTTTGCTCTTCAGATTGGGGTGTGTAAGTTTTTTATTTTAGCAATATATAAGTATTTCAAAGAAATGCATTCTCTCATTCTCTTTTTACATTCATTCTGATGATTTACACTCACAAGAATTCAAGAAATTTTTTGCTAACTATTCAAGAATTTTTTTTTTAATTGTGGTTTCAAAACTTTATGAAAATAGTTTATTCACATCCGCATCGTAAGTGTAATTTTTTTCTAAAGAACACTTTCTACAAGGTAAGTTGTTATTTAAATTTATATAGTTACGTAAGGAAAAAGTATACTTGATTATCATTTAAATAACGGTAATGAAATGTTTCATTATTATAAGTCAGTTTTTTAGGTTTGTGAATGCATTAAATGACTTTAGAAACCAGTTTCTAAATATTGGAAGTGAAAGAAGTGAAATTCGAAATTCTACAATCCTGAATTTGCAAAATACAAAATATTTGTAATATTCAATCAATATCGTTTTAAGAAGTAATCTGATATATCAAAATTAAGTTAATTAATTTTGAATTGCATAGCAACATTAAGTATTAGGTGAATTAAATTTTATCGTAGAAACTAAGGAATTAAAATCATGCTACTTATTAGTCTTTGTGTTGTTAGCTATTAATACATCCAGCTTACAAGGTGTCATGTTCTATGCTAGGTAAAACATAGTGTATTTCTCAACATTTTCTGCTTAGAAAATAATTAACGACGTACATTACCTTAATATATTGCACTAGAAGGCACGGATGAATAAAATACGATTTAGCGGATTCCAAAATAACTAAATTATAATAATTTATTAAATAAATCTTCAAAAATTCGCTTAAAGCTTTCTAAGAAATATCAATCAATAATATTCATTTATCGCAAATTTTTGTCGAACTCTATTATTCTTGATGAAACAAGTATTCTGTTTTCTCTCTAGTTTAATTAGTATATTTTATAGCATTCATTGTATTATACTCAAAGCCGTCATAATTGAATCATATCATTGGGCTTTTCTATTGTTCCAGGGCCAAATGTTTCAAGAATATCAATAACTTTTTCAAACTGTGTGTGCCTACATTCACGGGACCGAGAAATTAGTGCCCATATTTTAAGATGTCATTATAAGTGAGCCAAATGCTACTTTTTAGAAAACACAGCGGAACATTTACAATGCCTCAGGTTATATCAGGTGTATTTTGTTGACGCTTAATTATAATTCCATTCGATCATTTTGTTAAAATTCCACTTTTCTACAAATTTTATTATTTTGAATACAAAGTCATACAACACATTCATTGACTTGTTATGGATATTTAAACCAAAAATATACAATTTGTTTAACAGCTCACGCGAGGTTTTTCCCTAAATAGTAGCTTTTCTTAAATTAGCACATGCTCACTGTTGCAAAGTGGCTTAATTGGTTACGACCCGTAGGGGTTCCTTCACGAATTCTCAACATGGTGCGAGAACTTGAATTTGATTATTCCTCTTTTATATCTCATATAGTGGTTCTGCAAATAATCCGTCTCTCCGAAAGGAAAAGAATGGCAGATCGCCGCGGCAGTCCGTCCTCATTCGGTGTTTACACAGTTTTTCCCAACTTGCTGGCTCATTCCATCCGATATTGTCATGTCGCGGCTTTCAGCACATCCTATTCCACGCGCTCTGGAATGGGGTTATTTTCACTCCAGTCACCTGTACTGCTTGCTGTTGGGCGAGTGGCTGCCGCAAATGGGCCACTGGAGCTGACGGGCCTCGTCCGCACGCGGAAACTAGCAATGACGGCCCGCCGGAAAGAATACACTCGCGAATCGACCCCGATTTTTGCATCATTCATTGGAAAGAGATGCTAAGAGTTTTGTGCACCCGTTTGACCTTGCGACATTCGTCAGCGGCAGTGCAGTCTTCAAGTTCAGCGATGCGTGGAGTTTGTGGATTGATCTTGGGCTGGTACCTATGCCTGCGCGATTTGAATTCCGTTCTATATTCTCCTTGTTTGGTAAGTGAATTTGTTTTCTGTACAGAGAAACGGGAAGAGAGAAAAGTTTTTCAGTGGGTTGTTTTAACATAGGTTCTAAGGGCTTGTAGTCTACTTCCGATTTAACGAGTTCTGTTTAATCAAGCTCTGTTTATCAAGCCCCTTGTATGGGTTCGACTCCAGGCGAATAGGCTGGATGCATGCGAAGTTTCGTGATTTTTCCCACGTGTAACATGGGCATGAGCCATTTCCCTTAAAAAATTCTCCCCGAATATATTCCTCCTCTTAGACAGGTTTAATTACAATCAAATAAACCAATCGAGTTGCTACGGATTAATCGAGTCATGTTTGAAAACAAAACGTCAGGTTTGTTTTTTTTTTTTTTTTTTTGCGGATTGTTGTAAAAGTTGCTATCAGGATCAAAAGTTCGCACAGAATTTTTTGAAGTGAGTTTGAATTCCATGACATCTGAGTTTTCCAGTAAACGTTATTCTTAAATACCGTTCATAACTGTGTTTCTTCATTTGTGACGGAATTTCTTCTTTTATTTACAGTGTCTCTTTTTGTTTTGATTCTTATGTAATTACGTAGTCTAATGATTCTTATGCAATTACGTAGTCTTCTCCTGACTTCTAAGTGCAATTAAATTGTTAGTAACATTTTCTGACAACTGAATTATGAATTCTGCTTCTTCTTCTATGTGCTTTTCAAATTGGTCTCGGATTAATCATAGATGTAATCGCCGATATTACCCGGTAGATCGGAATTTGACTATATTATTTTAATTTTAATTGATTTTTTTATTAAAGAAAGCATAACCAAGGAAAAAATTAAAAACTATGGCATGTATAGGTGGGTAAGGGAATATTAAAGAAACAAATGTTGCCTATGCTAAGCTGTTTGTGTCCGAGCAAAAATTGGAATTTAAGATTATTCTCGTTCTTAATTTTTTTCTTTTTCATTGGAGGAAAAATTAGATCGACTAAATATATATGCTTTCAGCTATCATTTAGAGATTTTTATTTGGAATATCTGAAAACTTCTGTACAGGTTTAAATTAATGAAGTAAAGTTTTATGAAAATATTACTTTTCCGTGTTTTTATTATTGAATTACATCTGATCATTGGTGATTCTCAACCGTTTTTGCCTCATGCACCTCATTCACTATTGTTAGACGATCCTCCCCCCTCCACCTCCATTCCAAAACTGGGAAAATACGTATTCATTTATTTAAATTTAGATACTTTTTCAAAGTGTTATATAAATTACGCAGAAATGTATAGAAATGTTAACAAATATCAAAACTTTAATAAAAGTATTTTTTTTATATTCATAAACTAAAACGAAATCTTAACAGGTAAATAAAAGGTTGACTGCGTTCCTTCCCCTTCCCCTCTGAAATTATGAAATTCTCTCCAGAGAAAAATTTCCCCCTTGATTGAAAACTCCTGTTACAAATGACAGTTTCATTTTCTCAAAAGTAAAATCCCAATGAATTACCTGCAATAAACTATGATTCCCTCCCGTTATATTTAGAATGAAGAACCTATAAAGAATATATAACTGCATCATTAAATAGATTTATAGAGAAACCAATATTACTATTAACTATTTTTCGAACAGCGTCGGCGACTTACAATTTCGTTGATATTGAAAAATACACCGAAGAAACAGCTGCTGTGGTGGGAAAAGAGGGGAGGGGAGAAAAAGAAGTAAAATGCTATTTGTCACCAGCCAAGGCCAGGCCAGAAGTCCGGATAGATATTAAATAAAAGTAAATTTACAAACATGGGTGGTAACAATAACTATCATAGATCATATTTTGCTCCCTTTTATGCGTCTCTCGACATTGAAAAACAAAGAAGAAGGGGGAAAATTCTGAACAGTTTCAATGGTCACCCAAAAAAAGACTGTTTTAAAGTTTAATAGGGTTAATCAACAAAGATTATGAATGGAGATGGCCCAAGGGGAATAGCGACAGATTTTATAGGATACTAAATGAATATATATTTAGACTAACAAGGGAATGTTATATAACCATCAGGTATATTCGAAATACACAAAAAGAAAAAATTATATATATAATTTATAGAAAGATTGAATGTTTTTTTATCTTAATTCATGAATTAAGATAAAAAATTCTTATTTTTTATTCATGAATAATTAGATACTTACGTCATGAATCAAATGCGTAAGTGAAAAAGTATAACATAAAAAAGACTGAATCTTTTTAATTAAATGTACCATGAATCAAATGCGTTTTTGTGTAAATCAGTCCAATTAAAGTGTAAAAAAACTGTATTCTTAAGAATTACATCTATTGCTTTTAAGAATTGCATCTATTGCTTAATTTGTTAAACAGTAACAAATTGATTTAATTTGAAAGATACGCTTACCCTTGTTAATCAATAACACATCGATTTAATTTGAAAGACACGCTTTGACCTTACTCTTTTCTGAGTGGCAGCATATTCGAATGAGAAGTGAAACAATGCATTTCCAGAAAATGGCATTTAAATTGTGTTTCGAGATTAATAGCCCTTTTGAGTTAAAAAAAAATTATTACTCATATGATTATATGTTGTGTAATAATCCGCACTATTTAGTGCTTCGCTTATCATTTTATATGTTGACAGTATGATGCATACAACACATAAGGCCAGATATTAATATCTAAAGACATTATTAACATTAATTTCTCCAAAAACTACGTTTCACATTTTTTATGCATCTCTCGACATTATAATAAATTATTCCTATTACTTAACATGTGTATACTTCATATTGCAATCCACACTCTCTAATAAATCATTTAGCATATTAAATACTTAAGGAGTAAAATGGATTTTCATATATAATATATATATATATATGCAAATAATATAATAGTGACAAAATATTTGAACATATCTATAAAAGTTACAAAATATAGTACTCAACGCATACTATAGTTATATTGCAGTATGATTCAGCATAATCTAATACTAGGCACATAATATGATATTTATTGTGTAGTCTTTTTAAACATTACACTGTACATACAAAGATTTCCTTTATTAGTTAGCACGTTTTTTAAAATGGATATTTCGGCACCCAGATGGTTTGTCGGCTCTCACGAGTAACAGAAGGCTATTTTTTTAGTTTTGGAAAATGAATTTTTCTTTCTATTCCAGAAGATCAAGAAAGCTTAAAGAGAAATTCAAAGTTCAGTCTTCTAGTTTAGATTTTGGAATAACATTATTTTACTGTGTACTTTTACGGAACTTTCAATTCAGAAAAAATATTAAACGTAAAAAGAAGTCTAACAATAGTAATAGAAATTCAAAGGGCAATAAAGAAATACAAATTTTATGAATTTAATGGATATTTACGGAAAAATCTGATATTTGCGAAATCTTAGAAAACATTTCCTAAAATTCGCGCTGCAATAACGTCTTTGCCTTAATAATGATTAATAAGCCATTGCTTTAAAATTAGATAAACATGAATTGATTTACTAGAAATTTTATGAAACTATTTCTTCGTTTGTCGTTTTTCATCCAATCTTTTTTACTATACTTTGTGTTCTTTTGTTGGCAGTTTTGTTTCCTAAGTTGTTCCGTTTCTGAGCTTCTAGACCTTGGAAATTCTCTTCCGTTTTCCCCTAGACATTATCTGAAGAGGAAATCGCTTAAAATTGCTCAAACCACCTTCTCTTTGCGCATGGGTTCATTGAGCAACTGTCTAATGTCGAAGGTCATGGTTCCGTGATTTAAACGATCATGACATCCTCCGTCTTGAGGTGCTTCTTCCCTCTTTTCTTTCATTTATGCCATGCGTTAAGGTTGGTGAACTGGTTCACGCAAATCTTGTGTTGTAACTGAACACCCGCAACAAGAAGTGTAATGTCCGGTTGCATGTTAATTGTTCCGGCGATTACATTAATACAAAGCTATGTACAAACCTTTCCTCGTAGCTTTTAGAAGAGAAATATAAATGAGCATAGACCGTTTTTTATTAGACGATTTATACATATATGAAGAAGAAAAGGCAACGAATTTGGTGATGTCTGAAGTTTCATTGTCAGTTTTGTTTTCTGAGAATTTTGACCATGAAGCTATGCTTACAGATGATGGAAGATTATTTGGATTTATAATAAATGTACCTAAAGGCATAATTTCTGTACCAAACTGTGGTGCGGTCGATCCTCGGTATAACGACCATTCCATTTTCAGGACCGATACGAAAAGTTCCCGAGTGATAAGGGACGGATCGTTATAACGAGCATCAGTTGTATTAGCATTATTATTTCCATTGCAAAGTAATATAAATGTTTTGAATAGTGTGATTGAAAAACAAAAATCTTCGCCACAGAGAAATAAAACTGCATGCAGTACCCTATCCAGTTATAATAAAATGACAGCTAAATTTGTTGATATAGGTATTTTTCGTTTTAAATCACTTGAATAGGATGTTAGATATTTAATTCTTTTAAATATATAAAAAACGCAGAATTTTCTAAAATTTAATCAAATTCTTAAATTTAAAATTAAATTATTTCGGAAAAATTCATGTATTTAGGTACAATTCTAAATATTTTTTCTTCAACTCAAAATTTAAATATTTAAAATTTTATTGGCATTATGAAGCACCTATTTGCATATAAAATCCACATAAAGTGTAATATCATACAGGCATGTAAAGTGTAATTATTCTAGGTTTAGCAACGAAAATTATCATTAAAAATTATTTAAATGTTACCGTTAATTTTTAATACTTGATTTTGCTGTATTAATCATACATTGATGAACCATTTATAAAATTCACTATAAGCTAGATAAGCTTATATAAATTCTAGATAATTATTAGCAGCTGAATCTATTTACACAGTTTCAATATGATTAAGTTCAGTTTAAAAGCGTGTAATTAATTTCCCATCGAATTTTTTTTAATAAGAATGACGTAATATAACTAGCCAGTAAGGAGAGTTTTCAAAACATTGAGGAATATTTGTAGTGCTAACAGTATAATAAGCGTATAG